ACAAGGCCATAAACTAATTTTGTTGTTTGCCTTGCTACCTAAGGTAGTTTTTTTAAAATCATTCCACATTACTGAAATAATAGTGTGAAAGCACTGGGTGAAGCTGGGAATTGTAGTGGAGAGATCTGCTGGTTTCCTTGTACAAGGAAATGTACAATCCGTAGTCATTTGATGGCAGAGGTGAAAGATTTGGCCACTAAAGACCCTTTGCCTAGGCAGAGAATGGTATTGATAATGCAAGAGCTGCATTCATGCTATTAGTCATGTCCACTCAGCTTCTATGTACTAAAGAATCTTGAACAAGCGGTACAATTCTCAGTGACTATATGTAATAATTATTCTATGCTTATCATAGTTTTTTTTTAATAGTTGTATTCTATAATATGAAAAAAAAATAGTTTTAAAAGAAGAATTATTATTATTATGATTATTATACAGGATTTATATAGCGTCAATAGTTTGCTTGGCGCTTTACAATAATAACGGGAGACAATACAGCAACAATACAGTTCCATACAAGAGGGTTAGGAGGGCCTGATCCTTGGAGCTTACAATCTAGGAGAATAATTTTGTCTATGATTTTTACTTGCACAGAAAAGAGCCACTCTAAATCTCAATGATGGACATTTCCTCTGATGATCCTCTATGTGAAAAAATGCATGATCACATTGTTTAGCCAATGACAATCTCAGCTGAGCACAGCTTCCAGGTGTTTAAAATGGGCAGAAATAGAAGCTAATTTCTTAATGGTTGTTTCCTGCTATGTCAGTGGTGTTAATAATCCCATTATGGTTTAATTTCTTTATTCCAGGGACATTGTGCCATGCTTAATGGGGGGTGCTGGCATCCAAAAATTAAGGAGGAGTTTCTAACCTGCTCCAATGATGGGTATGTCTTTTTTTTTCTTATATGTGCCCACATGCTTTGACATTTCCTTAGGTTTCTATCAATAGACTCCGCTACATATATGTCTTTTTGTATGTGTTTGTTATATCTGTGAATGTTGAGAGCTGTCATGATGGTATTCTGTAGGCACAGCTGGGATTTCTTTACATACCAGTATCAGCAGTTGGAGAGTAACAGTGCTTAGGAGTACATTAAAAAGACAATACTTTTTGCAAAGTATATTTATTCCATCCCAGACTGATATTTTGGTGTATTATTTGCGCATCAGTGTTTTCACCGTTTCCAACACGTCTGGCGCTTACCAGTAGAAGTTCTTGTTTTCTAGGACCTGTGCTGTTCATAAATCCAAAAGAGATACACTAGCAGTATACTCCAAAATTTCTCTCGTTCATCCCATGGAATCTAATGAAAATTTGTTGTTTCTTCTATCCACATGAAACAGCATGGTTGGAGGCAGGGCCTTGGATAAAGGGGTACCATCAGCCCTCCTGTACAGGGTCCAGGCAGCTGGGTGAATCGGATTCTGTATGGCCCTCTCTGTAACAGCTGAAAGCTGGCTTCTTCTGCTCTCCTCACTGGCTTTCAGCTATTGTAGAGATAGCCATACAGGGGATCTGTTCCAGTAATGGCCCCCCTGTCACACCCATCGCCCTTTTTGTGCACTATACAATTCATTCCCCCTGCTGCCCAGGTCTCCTTGTCTGTCCCTACTCCTGCAGTGCTGCTGGCTCCCCTCCTCTCCTTCCCACCGGCAGCTGCAGGCACACAATAGAATCCTTCAGGATGGAGAGTGGGGGAAAGGGTCCAGTAAATATGTCACATTTACCAACCTCTTCCTTTCCTGAAAGAACTCAATGTGTTCGTTTATAACTGAAGCATAGTAAACTGTGTTTTTTTTTTTGTGTGTGTGTGGGGGGGGGGGGGGGGGGCTGTCAAGTTGGCTGTATGGGGTATACTCCAAAATTTCTCTTGTTCATCCCATGGAAACTAATGGAAATTTGTTGTTTCCTCTATCCATGTGAAACAGAATGTTTGGAGGCAGGGCCTTGGATAAAGGGGTAACACCAGCCCTCCTGTACAGGGTCCCATTCAGCTGGGTGAATCAGATTCTGTATGGCTGTCTCTGTAGCAGCTGAAAGCTGGCTTCTTCTCTCCTTCCCGCTGGCTTTCAGCTATTGCAGAGCGAGCCATACAGGGGATTTGTTCCAGTAATTGCCCCCCTGTCACACCCATCACCCTTCCTGTGCACCATACGATTCCCCCTACTGCCCAGGTCTCCCTCCCTGCCCCCACTCCTGCAGTGCTGCTGGATGTCCTCCTCTCCTTCCCACTGGCAGCTGCAAGCACACAATAGGATCCCTCAGGATGGAGAGTGTGGGAAGGATCCAGTAAATATCTCACATTTACCAGCCCCTACCTTTCACTGTGTTCATTCATAACTGAAGCATAGTAAACTGTGTTGTTGTTTTTTTTTTTTTGGGGGGGGGGGGGGCTTTCAAGTTGGCTGTATGAGGCCCCATGGTTTCTAACAGCAGCCCTGGTTGGAGGGATCTCCACTGCTGGCTATTGTATTTAAGCAGATGCAACGCTCGCAGCTGTCGGAATTCTTGAACAGTGACTGCATTTGCTTGGATGCAGTCACTGTTCGGCTGACAGTTTTCCACTTGGCTCCTTTGACTTTTCAATGGAAGTTTGCCGACCAGTGTGGTGCCGAACAAGCCACTCAGCTCAAAATTCAAGCAGTGTATTGGCAGCTTTATGGTCTTGCCACTTTAGCAACTGTGTAGCAGCTTAATTTCTCTGGTGGTTTGTAGCTGGATACAGAGTTGCTGCTGTAGTTGGCTACAATGGTGATGTTTCTTTGGTCATCAGAAGCTATGTGGATACTTGAGTAGCTGCTGAAGCTCGCTGTCCTGTCACAGGATCCAGTTGCTGCAAATAGTCAATCCTTCAATGCCTAAGCTACAAATTTTGGAATTTCAGATACATAGACCTTTCATTGGCTGCAGTTTTTTTTTTTTTTTCAAAACAACCAGATTCTGTAGCTGATTAAAATTACTATTGTGTTATGGGCCCAAAGCAAGTGTATAACAGAGCTGCATGTCAAGGGGACCTCATGGTCCAAGCTGGATTAGATCCCGGAGACACGATGGTATAAAGAACATCGTTACAATGGGGGCATTCTGAACAAGCCCACCATATAATGTACACAACAAACTGAACATACGAAGATCAGCCCTTAAAGCTGGAACCCCAGTGTATTACATATGCCCTATAAATGGTAATTACACCCTATTTAACAATTAACTCTCTTGTAAGGATGTACATTAAATGTTCATATTGTATTACAAAATGGTGTGTGCCCCAGAACGATCTCTGTATTGGGTGAACGGTTGCTTTACAGTTTTTTCATCTATTTGTTGTTCTTGTGTGTGTTCATAATTTACTTGTTGTATACAATCTTATTAAATCATCATCTTCAGTGACGAGCATCCTTCAAAAACCTCACAATACGGGCAGCACAATGGCTAAATGGTTAGCACTTCCGCCTGGCAGCACTAGGATTGTTGGTTCGAATCCCAGCCACGGCACCTCCTGCCTGGAGTTTGCATGTTCTCCATGTGCCTGCGTGGGTTTCCTTCGGGTACTTCGGTTTCCTCCCACACTCCAAAGACATGCTGGTAGGTTAATTGGATCCTGTCTAAATTGGCCCTTGTATATGAATGTGAGTTAGGGACCTTAGATTGTACACCCCTTGAGGGTTAGGGACTGATGTGAATGCACAATATATATGTTAAGCACTGCGTAAATTGACGGCGCTATATAAGTACATGAAATAAATAAATACTTGGACCACTTATGAGAGGTGAATGAGTTCTGAGATATAGTCACTGTAAGATGTTGTTTTCTGTGTGAACTGAGATATGCCGCATCTCAATATACATAATAAATGTACTGCTCATTGGTTCAATACACATTTCATGTTTTTTAGCTTCTAGTGTGTTATATGTGTTGGTAGATATAGCATAAAGGATCCTGTTTTGTACTGTTTCTCAAAAGAAACCCATTATTGTTCAAATTCGTAACACTGTACTGTAATTTAATAACCTTTAAATGTTTCTTATATTTCAGTTGTATATAGCTTTCATTTTCACTGTTTGCAATATGCATTTTTTAGAAAGTGTAGTTTCCATCTTGGCTGTTAGGTTTGTGTACTTTTTGAATGCCACAATGCCTATACCTCTCCTATCAATTCTGGAATGTACCATAGTAGTGTTGCAGAAAACGTTCATTGTTCACCATACAAGAGAGTACACAGAGATCTGGCAGGGATGTTCAAACAGGGAGCATTGTGCTTTGACTCTCGATTTGTTCATAAATGCAAGATGGTTAATTAGTCAGATTCTTGTATATCTCGCATCCATGGACTCTTGAGTTCTCATCTCTTTTTATGTGTGTATTTGTCTTGATAAAGTGCAAATATTCCTTAAAGAGCAACTTCAAGATTCTTAAAGATTAAAAGTCAGCAGATACACATACTGTAGCTGGTGACTTTTAAAAAATATGTAAACCCCACATTACATATTCCTGATATGTGTCTGCTGTACCATGCACTTGTATGAAAAAATGTATCCTGTTCTCTTTGTATTGCTTCCTTTGTAAGAAAATCCCTGGTGTTCCTGCCTGTCCCTCTGCTTTCCTTTTAAAAAATTACCACACTAGGCATGAGAACACACCGTGGTCAGTTCTCTAGCTGTGCTAGAAACTCAGCCTGCTCGCCTCCAATGATCAGACTTGTGCTGTTTCTCCTCCCATCTATACACACATGTTTTGCCTTTAATTTCTGTTGTAAACTGCATTTGTTGTTTTACAAGGTGGTAGCTTACATTTACCTTAACAAGCAGGTATTTACCTGCTCATGGAGTTCACTACTGTTTTCCCAATTCTTTGACGGGCTTTGGATCCCCAGTGCCACCACCCTGGATGTGGGAGCCAGCTATGTTCTCAGGGAAGAAGGGCCCCCTTAGATTGGTGGTCAGTGGGACATTATACTGATGGTCACTTTACTGTAATAGTCAGTGGGAAGAATGCTTCTTACATTGGAGGTCAGTGGAAAGAATGCTCCTTACATTGGAGGTCAGTGGGAAGAATGTTCCTTACGTTGGAGGTCAGTGGGAAGAATGTTCCTTATGTTTGAGGTCAGTGGGAAGAATGTTCCTTATGTTGGAGGTCAGTGGGAAGAATGTTCCTTACGTTGGAGGTCAGTGGGAAGAATGTTCCTTACGTTGGAGGTCAGTGGGAAGAATGTTCCTTACGTTGGAGGTCAGTGGGAAGAATGTTCCTTATGTTGGAGGTCAGTGGGAAGAATGCTTCTTACGTTGGAGGTCAGTGGGAAGAATGCTTCTTACATTGGAGGTCAGTGGGAAGAATGCTTCTTACATTGGAGGTCAGTGGGAAGAATGCTCCTTACGTTGGAGGTCAGTGGGAAGAACGCTCCTTGCATTTGGAGGTCAATGGGAAGAATGCTCCTTGCGTTGGAGGTCAGTGGGAAGAATGTCCTTTATGTTGGAGGTCAGTGGGAAGAACGCTACTTACATTGGAGGTCAGTGGGAAGAACGCTCCTTATGTTGGAGGTCAGTGGGAAGAACGCTCCTTACGTTGGAGGTCAGTGGGAAGAATGTTCCTTACATTGGAGGTCAGTGGGAAGGATGCTTCTTACAACAGAACCCAAGTGGATGAATGAGTGAAATGCAGAGATGCGCCTAACATCTCAGGCATGAAATCTTGTTTAAATATTTTGTTCCTGAGACTGTTGGGGAGTTTATTTCTAGTGAACTCAGTCTTTAAATATCAGGGCAAACAAGTTATTATTTCACTTTATAAATAATTCTGATACTTTGGCTGTATATATATATATATATATATATATATATATATATATATATATATATATATATAATATACACACAGTAGGGCAAAAAAGTATTTAGTCAGCCACCAATTGTGCAAGTTCTCCCACTTAAAAAGATGAGAGAGGCCTGTAATTGGCATCATAGGTAGACCTCAACTATGAGAGACAAAATGAGAAACAAAATCCAGACAATCACATTGGCTGATTTGGAAAGAATCTATTTGCAAATTATGGTGGAAAATAAGTATGACCTCCTTCAAGTATTCTGATGTATTCAAACTGATCCATGATCCCTGGTATGCGATAAATAGGCCCAACACCGTAGTATGAGAAACATCCCCATATTATTATTTATTATTATACCGTATTTATAAAGCGCCAATAGTTCGCTCAGCGCTGTACATTACAAAGGGGGACAGAACATGTGACAGAACAATACCAATACAATGCAAAACATGAGGGGATTGAGGGCCCTGCTCTTTCAAGCTTACAATCTAGGAGGGAGGGGATGGTGGCACAGGAGGACATAGCTGTGGGGGATGGAGTGATAGGAAGAGTGGATGAGGTCGGCAAGTTAGCAGGGGGTGGGGTAGGCTTCCCTGAAGAGATGGGTTTTCAGGGTGCGCCTAAAGGAGAGGAGAGTAGGTGATAATTTGATGGGTTGGGGCAGGGAGTTCCAGAGGATGGGTGACACTCTGGAGAAGTCCTGGAGGCGGGCATGGGAGGAGGAGACCAGGGAACTAGAGAGAAGGAGGTCTTGTGAGGAGCGGAGTGTGCGTGCTGGGTGGTACTTGGATATTAGGTCGGTGATGTAGTTCGGGGCAGTATGGTGGACAGCTTTGTACGTCATTGTTAGGATTTTGAATTTGATCCGTTGCGCAATCGGAAGCCAGTGGAGGGATTGGCAGAGGGGGGTGGCAGAGACGGAGCGGTTGAAAAGGTGAATGAGTCTGGCAGCCGTATTCAGGATCGACTGAAGCAGGGATAGCCAGCGGCGAGGCAGGCCAGTGAGGAGGGAGTTGCAGTAGTCGAGTCGTGATATGATGAGGGAGTGGATGAGCTGCTTAGTGGTTTCTGGGGTTAGGAACGTGCGGATTTTGGCGATGTTGCGGAGGTGGAGTCTGCACGAGTTTGTTAAAGATTGGACTTGGGGCTGGAAGGATAGGTTGGAGTCCAGAATGACACCAAGTACTCTGGCCTGCAGGGCGGGTTTGATATTGGCGTTGTTGGATGTGATGGAAAAGTCAATGGGGGGTGGTGTCCGGGCTGGGGGGAAGACCAGAAACTCGGTTTTGGAGAGGTTCAGTTTAAGGAAGTGGAGCGACATCCAATCTGATATGTCGCTCAGTAGGTGTGTGATTCGGGCAGAGACCGAGGTGGTGAGGTGGGGGGTTGAGAGATAGATTTGTGTGTCGTCGGCATAGAGGTGGTAGTTGAAGCCGTGAGAGTGTATGAGTTGGCCAAGGGAGGAGGTGTAGATGGAGAAGAGAAGGGGCCCGAGGACAGAGCCTTGAGGGACCCCAACAGAGAGGGGGAGTGAGGGGGAGGTGGTAGCATTATAGGTGCTTATCATGATGCTTGCGCAACCATACTTCACTGTCTTCACAGTGTACTGAGGCTTGAATTCAGTGTTTGGGGGTCGTCTGACAAACTGTCTCCGGCCACTAGACCCAAAAAGAACAATCTTACTTTCATCAGTCCACAAAATGTTGCGCCATTTCTCTTTAGGCCAGTCAATGTGCTCTTTGGCAAATTGTAACCTCTTCAGCACGTCTTTTTTTCAACAGTGGGACTTTGCGGGGGCTTCTTGCAGATAGCTTGGCTTCACATAGGCGTCTTCTAATTGTAACAGTACTCACAGGGAACTTTACACCTTCTTTCATCTTCCTGGAGCTGATTGTTGGCTGAGTCCTTGCCGTTTTGACCATTCTTCTATCCATTCCAATGGTAGTTTTTCGCTTTCTTCCACGTCTTTCAGGTTTTGGTTGCCATTTTAAAGCATTTGCGATCATTTTACCTGAGCAGCCTATCATTTTCTGCACTTCTTTATATGTTTTCCCCTCTCCAATCAACTTTTTAATCAAGGTACGCTGTTCTTCTTCTGAACAATGTCTGGAACGACCCATTTTCCTCAGAATTTCAGAGAGAAATGCACTGTAACCAGCATGTACAACATTTGCTGCCTTCCTTCCTTAAATAAGGGCAATAATTGCCACCTGTTTTTCAAAGAATGAATGACCTCACTAGCAGAACTCCACACTGCTATTATTTTGAACATGCCCCTTTCAATTAGTGATTCAATTACACAGAATCAGCAGCATGCATGTCATGACTGTTGGGTCTGTTGGATTTCTATTACTCTACTACACCTGCTAGTAAATTATTTGCCATGTAGAAATATCATTTCTACCAAAAACGGTGATTGATCAGGTTAGTGATGTCTGACTGCTATTATTTTGAACACAACTGTATATGTGTGTATATCTATGTGTGTGTGTGTGTATATATATATATATATATATATATATATATATATATGTGTGTGTGTGTGTGTGTATATGTGTGTGTATGTAATATATATATATATATATATATATATATAAAATCTCATCATGAAATGTGTTTCTCTTTAACTCTCTATTATCCGCTCTACATCCATCACTGGCGTAACTTTAGATTCCAGAAATGCAGCCTGCATCCTTGTTTGAAGATGTTAACAGACTCCTTTTACAATAGGAGCGGCTGGCCATGTCCGAAAGGCTGGACTTAAGTGTTTCATTTACTGCCTGTGTATTTGTCGGTCTTGACTGTTTTATAAGTTTTCCTTTTTGGCCTAATCCTTTCCTAAATACCTTTCATGCCTGTGATCATCAGATCATTAAGAGGAAATGCTGCGGGTTTTTACACTGGAAATGGCTTGTCTGTGTATGGCTGAGGTGTTGTCAAGATGTGTCCTACACGGGGTCATGACATGGACTCACTCAAGTGCATCTCAAGCCATTTACTCCTTTCATTAGGGTCACTAAGCCGCCCGTGTGCCATAACTTACCATGGAGTTCTTTTCTGTTGGCCTGTCAAGAAATGTCAGGCTTCAAAGAGCTGGTAATTGTTTTCTCTTAGTGGTTAAGAGTTCTGCTGCAGGGATTTCATTTTGTTCCACTTTATGTGACGGGCCTGAGCAAGTGCACTTATTTATCTTCAGTCATTAGAAAGGCCAGGAAGATGGAAGTCCTAGAGTCCAGATCGTTGGACAATGGAGCATGGACTGATAGGTTGTACTAACAGCTTCAGTAGCTACCTCTGCTTGTTAAGGGCTTATGTTCATGGACATATTTAAGTCCCATCAGAGGGTCCGGAACACAGAGTCCACCAATATGCCACCTTTGATGTCTGACAATGTTTAAATTGATGGTCAACGTGGAGTGGGCAAACGTTATTTGAGCCACATTAGATACTTTGGAGAAGGCCTGATTGGTTGATATTTGTCATTTTTGAGCTGATTTTGGCCATGCTAAATTTGATGGTCAAATGTATCTGGTAAGCCTTCAGTTGCACACAGAGGGGGAGGGGGGGTTTGACACCTGTTTGCATGGAAACCATCTGGTTATCCAACAATTGAAGATTCACGTTTGCACTTCTGATCCATTTTCTTGGAATTGGGATTCACATCTAAAGACTTACATTTTTGCACATTATATATATCCTAGTGATATTGTTACGTAGTTTTGAGTATTGTCATATTATGTTTCAAACGGTAATAGCTGGGATTGCACTATCACATATAAATTTCTTTAGCGCTACACTAATATATGTATGTTTGTTAAATTCTTGTATCAGAATTTGTGTTAGCAGCTTGACATATATTTTTGAACCAGTTGTAGCTGGCCAGCTAAGACCAGTCCTAGGTTGTTAATATGGTTCACATATATGTGTATACCAAACCTGCCAATAACCTCAGTACAGTATATATGTGCATATGTTAAAGCCAAAAGCAGAATCATTGCTGTGATTTATGTCTTTGATTGTTATATGACATTTATATATTCATTGTGTTAGCAGAAGCAGAAAAGGAAAATATGCCTTTAAGAGTTAGTTAAAGGTGAGCCAATCACAGACAGCCTCATACTGTACAGAGCCTTAACCAATCCCAGCCAGTTTCACATCTATGCCTGTGTAAAACTCCCTGCTAGGATTTTCTAGAGACACATGCTCACCAGACAGAAGAGGAAACAGACAGTTCCAATCAGAGAAGCTCTATGGAAGCAGAGAAGGCCAAATAGGTATTTAATGCACTTGTGTGTTCCTCTGTTGTTTACAGTGCAGGTAGATCTGTGTCTAAAAACTGTTGTATGTGTTTACTTGTAGTTCCACCGAACTTACGAATCAAGTCACTGTAGAGTAATCATAATCGAATGAATCATATCGAATTTATCGAGATAAGCTATTGAATCAACCCAATGTAATACGAATTAAACCGTTGTAATATGAAAGAAACAAGCCATTGTAAGCTGTTATATGAAGAAGATTGAAGTTATTAAAGAAGTTAACTAAAGTATTCGGTGTGCTCTTTAAACCTACTGCATCCATAGAGCGGCATTGGAGGAATTACAGAGTAAAGTCAGTCTAATCAAACAAAGAAACAGCAATTGCATCATTTTTCTAATGCCACAGCGCACTAGGCACCAAAGGGTGCTGCGCCTGCCACACCAGTGCAGATGTTTTATGGTTTATTCACACATTTGTGTATGGCATTACAGAGTAAAATACACCTATATTTGATGCTCCCAGCTGCTGT